AAGATTTCAGAAAGTTCTGTGTGATGATAATGTTCTACACTGTTAAGGCCAGGGGATGGCTGAAGAGGAGAGGAAATGCAGTTCCTTGGAATCAAGTAGGTTAGTGTGTTCATCTTATAGCCTCAGTGCTGATAATGGCAAGACTTGGGGTGGAATGAGGCACCAAAATCTTAAGTGAAATGAAGAGTCCGGTGGGCCACTTCATGACATCAAATCAGCAGAGCAGAAACTGACAAAATAAGTCCTGTGACAAAGACTTCTTGTTGTCCCTAATCATCCACTCTCCCCCTCACTCTCATAGCATGAAAACCCCCAATTTTTAGCTGGGTACATGGCTACATTTCCCAGCTTCCTATGCAGTTACCTATGGTCATGTGACTATCTTCTGGCCAACAAAATGTGAGCAGAAGGGATGTCTGCAACTTATGGGTCTCACTCTTAAAGCAAAGTGGAGAGTTGTTCCTGGTCCCCATTTTTTTTTCCTGTAGACTGCAATGTAGACACAGTGGCGAGGCATCTTAGACCTTACCAATGAGGGTGACACCTGAAGGGTGGCCTGGACTTGAGTAACTTCACAGAGCATAGCCACCCGATCAGCCCTGACTTTTCCGAGAGAAATAAACTTTCTACCATGTTTGTTTAAGTTCTTTGCACAGTGGATCTCTGGCCTACCCAGCTCATCTTATAACCTAACTATGACAAACTTCAAAGGAACAGGGGATGCACAGAACTTATATGCATGTAATGCATGAACAATGGACATGGACAACAAAGCTGGGGACAGGGCAGGGAGGGAGGAGGAGGAATCAGTGGGGGGGGGGAGGAGAAACATCTGTTGACCCGTCCCGCAGGTTGAGCAACGAGGACTCTAGAGGGGGAGTGAGGATGAGGAGGGACAAGAGACACAAGAAATGGAGATAAGACAGGGTTGTGATCAAGTCCCGTTTATTCTGGGGAAATCCACACAATATATAGGGCAAGAAGCAGAAAAACAGGAACATTTGTTGCCAAGCGATAAGTTTGTAGTAACCACCCCGAAGCAATAAACAGAACATAACTGGCTGAGTAAATGGTTACTTAAAGGAATGCAGAAACATTGTATACAGAGATATCCTGCCTTGGGGCAGGAGATGGCAGAGCAGATTGTAACAAAATGGATGCCATCCAAATAGTCTCCCACAATCTGTAACAAAAATAAATCAATTAATTTAAAAAAAGGAACACGGGATGACTCTGAATATGGAAGTTAACAGAACTTTCCTAGTGGGACTCAGGAGCGAGCAGTCTCCATTTGAGAGAGCATCAAGGGAAGTGAGATCTTCAGGGAAGAGCCGTTCAGGCACAAGCTGAAGCCACAAAAATTGATGTGCACATAAGGATATTTCTCCTGATGTCAAAAGCACAGCTTGAAGGGACTCCCACTGGCCAAATTTGGGCAATTTTTAAGTATCAAAAAAAAAAAATTAATGGATTATTTAGACAGTAGGGGAAATTTAAATGTGGGGTGTATTTTTTATAATATTATATCAATGCTAAATTTCTAGACTGTGATCTTTGAAGTGTGGTTATTTAGGAGAACATTGTTCTTCGGAGATGTATGTGGAAGTATTTAAGGAGAAGAGTCATGTGTCTGGAACCTAAACTCAAATGTTTCGTCAAAAAAGTTTATTGCGCCCTGGCCGGTTTGGCTCAGCAGTTGGAGCATCGGCCTGCGGACCAGAGAGTCCCGGGTTCGGTTCCCGCTAGGGGCACGTACCAAAAAAATTAAAAAAAAAAAAAAAAAAAAAGTTTATTGCTATAGATAGAACAAATGTGGCAAAGTGACAATAATTAGTGTAAGAAGGTAAAGATACAAAACCAAAACAAATGAAACAAAAAGGAGCGCTGGTATGGAAGGTTGCTTATTCCAAAAGAGTTCCAGAGGCCCAGAGGAAAGGTCTGAGAGAGGAAGGACTTGGCCACTTCACAAACCATCCTGTGTCTATTTGCTCACTGGTGGTCCTCAATAGGCATAGTTGTCCCAGGCTCAGAACAGGGCTTTGCTCAAATAAATATTTGTGGAAGGTCCTATGACTGGGCCCCATCCCTCCACTCTGGAAAGAAAGGCTGGTGGAACTCAGCAGCGTTTCTGTGGGATGAGGGCTGATGTCTGGGCAGATAGGCCTAGATAGGCCCATCTTCCTGGGTTTCCTCCTTCCTCACTTCTTACTTCTTAATCCTCTGGCATTTTATTTATTTTATTTTTTCAATATTTCCAATCATAATTTACTGCACTTGACACCAGACTTTATAACAACATTGTTTTTGTTCTTGAAAATAAGGATTTTAACTCATAAGGTAAATTACTATAACTGGAATCTCATATGAATAAATTCTGCTAAATCAAATCTCTAAATTTACTTAGGTCAATTTGATTCAAGTAGAAAGAAACCTATTAATGCAAAAAGTAATTTACCTGGGCTATTGTCTAAAAAAGGTCTATATTTTTTAAAAAGTGCAGGAATATCAAGATATTTTTAAATGCCTACCAAAAAAAGAAACTAATTAAATAAACACTAAAGAAGGAAAAGGCTACACATTCCAATTTATGCTCTTTCTCAGCAAGGGCTTCTTTTTGACAACGAAGAAATCTGCTAACATTGGAGTGAGTTGTTTCCTATCATCTATTTCAGCTGCCGATCTGCCATTGTTATCTGCTAGCAACATACAAGTATCCTCGACCATTTTAGAAAGCCTTTCACCAGATTCTTTATCTGTTATCTTATCTAGTAGGGATACTTCTTGGACTTGAACAGGCAAAGAAGCTGTCCTCTGATGAACTGCTGCATCACCTGAAGCATTTTCTAGCTCTTGCAATGCTCTAACGAGATCTAGAGTCTGTGGTGGTTCACTTGGAGATCCCAGAGAGGAACCGTTTTCATTTTCATCCACCTTTATCTGTTCATAAGTTCGCTTCCCAGATTTCTTATCGCCGTACAGAGCTTGCTTAAGTTGTTCTAATACATCATTTTCATAAACAGACCTTTCTTCCCAAATAGATAACACTCTTCCAAGCTGCTCCTTACAACTTTCACCCGTTTCACTTGAAACATGCTTGAAAGCCTCCACTATAACTAGTGCAAAATATCTGGTAAACTCCGGCAGCTTCCTTTGCTGTTCCGAATGACATCACTGGCTGGGTGGGGAACCGGGAGCTTCCTGTTTGGTCCGGCTTTCCGCAGCCCCGGCTCCCACACGGTGAAGACGCGCGAGTGCTCGCGGTGGTGGTGAGCACAGGGACAAGGTCTGCGCGCCCTGCTGCGAGCGGCCCGATTCCGACAGCTTCTCCAGCGCGCCTCGGAGAAGGCGGCCGTCCCACGTGGTGGGGCTGCGGGGAGGAGGGTTTCTCCGCGCTGCCGTGGCCTCGCCCCCTCACCCCACCCTTCCCCACGCCCCCGCCAACGCCGCGGTCACTTCCACGACCCACCGCAAACCAGCTAGAGGGCGTTTGGCAGGCAGTCTCTCTGGCATTTTAGCTCAAACGGTTAGGTTTCTCTGTGGCTCCGCCTAAGGCTTTCTTCTCCAGTCTCACTCCCTCCCTCCTTAGGTGAGCCCCTTCACTCCCAAGGAGAATCTCCAGCCCCACCCACCCCACATACTCCAGACTCATTCATATATCCAATTGCAGCTGGACATCTACACTTGGATGAATCAATGTCACTTGAAGTTTAATATGTCCCAAATGGAACTCTTCCATTTCCCCCAGACCTGGTTCTCTTCAGTATTCCCATCTCAGTGAACGGTGCTTCTTACTTCCCCTCACCTCCCCACATCCAATCCATCTTGCAAATTCTTCCTCCAGATTATAACCTGGACCTGTCTTTAGCCAAGGAGCCTACATAAGAATGGAACCCTGTCGTCTTAGCCTCGGGGCCCAGATCTCGTCCTCCTCACAGAAGCCAGAGTAATCTTTTAAGACATAAATCAAAGCACGTCACTATCCTGGCTTGAAATCCTTCTCTTGGCATTCAGTCTTCACCATGGATATCCTCCCACACCATCTGCCTACCCCACCTCTCAGCCTCATCTCATCTGCACTCACTGCTGGCTGCAACCTTCTTGTCCAGCTCTCGGCATTACTCGGCTTCTCTCTTTCTGGGACATTCTCCCAGCTATCCCCAAGGCTACCTCTTTTCATCTCAACTCCAGTGCCCCCTTCCTAGATCTATAGGAAGAAACCCGCCCTGCCCCTTAAAGTTTAGACATTGTTTTCTTTGTTGATTGTGTTCTTCCCTGACCCTCCACCCCACCGCAGACCTGAAGCACCACACAGGTAGAGTTCACCACTGTATCTACAGTGCCTGCTGGGCTAGGTGCTCGCAGATGTTTATTGAAAGAAGAAATTTATAGATGGCAATTTTACGTGTTTTTAAATATCCGTAGTTGACAAAATAAAAAGTTGCCACTTCTGTGTAGTTCGTCATGTTTAAAACATTAGTCAGGGACTATTGCAGCAGATCAGTTGGCCTCAAGCCCGCCTACAGCACAGTTGTTCTAGGGATACAGGAGAGGAAGGGAGGAAGAGAGAGGTACAGTGATGGCTGGGTGGCTGGGTGACTGGGTGAGTGGCTGGGTGAAGGCTTGGATGGGCGAGTGGATGGGTACATTCTGGGAAAGTAAACCCAAGGTGCTGAGCGCACTGAGAGCTCGCTTCCCTGGGCCGATCACCTTGCGGGGTCAGGGAGGGAACTCTTCCGGCAGACGGGCGCCGTGGCTGGCGGTCGCCGGCTCCCCTTGGTGCACAGCACGAAAGTCCTTAGGCCCCGGGCCGCGCACAGCTGCGCCTCCTACCGACGCGTGCGCTCAGGTGAACGCCCTGCAGGCCCGCCGCGTAGCGAGTGAGAGTGCGCGCAGGTGAGCGTCCCGCCCCGCCGCGCCCCGCCCCCGGGCTTGGCCACCTGCCGGGGAAACTTGTGATTGTTGCCCTCGAGTCGCTCCGGGGCGGGACACGGCATCGGGCCATGGGAGATACGTCGGGTACTCGACAGCCCCGGACCCGGCCGAGAGAGCGAGACCCAGACCGGCATCCCCGCCCTGACCGAGACCGCCACTCCGAGCGACAGCGGGACCGAGCTGGGGACCGGCGCAGGGAGAGAAACGGAGGCGAGCGGAGGGACGGGGATCGGGACCGGGACAGGGGGAGGGACCGAGACCCTCGCCAGGACAGACATAGGGTCGAGAACCATCGCCCTAGTGAACAAAGAGTTTGGGAAAAACCCCGCCAAAGCCGGACGCGAGAGGGACCCGGGCGACCCACCTGGGACACAGCTCCAACCCCCTGGCCTGCGCCTTGGGAAACCCCAGAATCACCGCCCCACAGGAAGGAGGGCTTCGGGCGCCGCGGACCTGAAAGGTGAGGTGGGGTGCGGGGGGGCCCCTACGACCTGGGCGCAGGTGTCCCAGGCCAGCTTGCGCTGCTCTGGCGCCCCCGGGCCACTTGTAGGAAGCCGGTTTAAAAGAAGACAGTGGATTCCTTTGCAGTTTTTGAGGTGACTTGGAAAGGAAGGAAAACCTTATGCCCCCACTTCTTGACCCGAACCCTATTAATAAAGCAGAAACCACCCCTGTTAGCAGTGGCAGAGCCGGAGACTAGTTTAGGCAATAGAGAGGACTTCAGGGTAGGAAAGGAAGAGGTGGGAAGAAGAGAGGTAGATGGAGTTAACCTGAGGCTCCTCCCTGATCCCCCACCACGTGGTCACAGGACTGCCCCTTAGGGTTTTCAGACCTTTTTCCGGCGTTACAGAACCAGCCTTCCTCAAAGTGCCGATTTCTTGGAGGCCAGGGCCTAATAAAGTCAGCCCAGTGTCGGGTTAATAGTTTAATGTGTAACCCCTTCCAGAGATATATGTATTTCAAACACAGACAGCTGGAAGAATTGACACTTTTAACCAAAGACTTAAATCTACCAAAAATTGCCCATTGAGAAGCAAAGATCCCCTCCCACCCCCACCTTTGTCAGTGAGGTCTTCTGGGCAGCCTCATTCAGATTCCATGATTGTTTCAGACTCCGCACCCGCTTCTGTCTGGGCAAACTTTGCCATTCCTGCCTGCTAGAACACAGAGTTCCCATGAGGCCCATGAGTTGAAAGGCTTGTGGTGTTCTGGGAGACTGTGAGCTGGGAGAGGGTGGGGGTGGAAGAGAGGACAGGAGGTGGTCCTAGACCCCACCGAACATCCCATCCAACCCCACAGATACTCCTGAATGTCCAGATTGTGTGCCAGTCCAACAAGGAGACAGGACCTGGAGTGCTGACTTCCTTCTGGTGTTTGATACCTGCCCGCTTCTCTAAGGAGTTAGGCTCCTCTACTGTTGGACTTGCGGGTTTAAGTCCAGTCTCTCTCCCTGTTGTGTCCACACAGCGGGAAAGCTACTATCTTGAGTTTATATTACGTTATCTAAAACCAACTAGACAAACTATGACAAAAGGTGTGCCCAGATAGAGTCACAGGGACTAACTATTGTGTCCCTGATTAAAGCTACATTGCATTGCAACTGTGTGACGTGGGGAAATACAGAGCTACATATTTGCTTACTTTATAAATGAGTGTCCTAGCCCCCAGTCCGGGCCTCAGAGTCTTGTGAAGGCAAACTAGTTCTGAAGTGGCCTGGTCCACGCTGAGCTGAGAAATCTCACAAAGAAGGCTCCCAGCTACTTGGTTAGATGGCGCCCCAGGCTGACAAACCAGCATGAAGGCTGTGCTCAGAAATAAAGGAATAAGTAAAGGGGGTAGTTAGCGGAGTTGGGCCAGGTGTGTGGATGCCCACTGGGGTAGCTAAAACAGAAGATTCCCTGGGGTATGAAACACTGTAGCAAATTTTGTTTCTGTTCTGCACATGGTTTGATGTCTGGACACAGCATGAGGTGTTCAGAGTTCTAATACTGAACAAGCTATTGAAATTGAGGCCCCTAATGGCCATGTATGTTTTTAGTTATAGTGAACCTACTTCAGGGAGATATCTGCCCTCGAACCCCAGGCCTGGACGAGAGAAAGTGGAATACTCCCAGTCAGAGGCCGAAGGACTCCTAGAATGCCACAAATGCAGATACCTGTGCACTGGGAGAGGTGAGTCATTTTGGAGGCAGCTTGGCCATTTACTGTCGCTGGTGGTTCTGAAAGGGGTCTGAACTGGTGAAGCAAAAGTTCAAGCAGAATTGGGTTCCTGGCATTTTCGTTTCCATGCCTGCATGAGGTTCTTGTGTTCTAAAATAAAAGATAGAAATGTCCGGAAGGTGCGGTTAGGTTTCCTGTGCTTCTCCTCACAGGTTCCCCAGGGTCTGGTGAGGCGAGCAGCCATGTTTGCAGTTTTAGGCCCAGGTGAACTGCGGGGGTCTACAGGTAGAGCCAGCTCTGAGCTGCCAGCCGTCAGGGAGCTGAGTGGAGAGGAAAGTCCCCTGGAGGGAGCAGCTGGGTTGCAGTTCACAAGAGGTCTGATGCCCAAATTCTTCGTCATGGCTTTTAAATTTTGTTGGCTGAGACCCACAGTAAGAAGTGTATTTTATATTCAGACCAAGTTCACGCACACACACCAATGTGTTGTGAAACACTACTTACCCTATTACATACCAAGTGCATAGGGAATTTCTATTCTATTCTGTTTCAACAAAAAAAACCACACTTATTAGCACCCAGAGTTTGAAAAATGAATTAATATCATGTGCCAACTCCAATGTGGTTTCCCCGAGTTCCCATGCTGGCACCAGTCCTGGCCTTGCCAGCAATGAAGAAAATCTGGTTTGTCAGGGTGATCCCCTTATGGCTCACATGGTTGGGTGAGAAATTTTCCTAGGCTGCGTATGCGTAAGGGGGGAAATTTCTCAGCCTAAGGGAGAGGAGTCATGGAACTTATACCTGAAAGTGTGTTTTAGGATGATTACAATGATATACATGATTATAGGATTACATGGAACTTTCATTGAAGAGCTCTAGGCAATCCTGGTACAAGAATCTTCTTGATATAAACAATAGGAATCAGCCAGGCTGGTTAACAGGTTTCTCTATAGAGGTATGTTTTCTTCTGTAGTTGATTTACCAAGAGGAGAGGGCAGAGCTTCAAGCTCCTGACAAAGCACACCTTGATTTACCTTTGATTGCTTCTGGCTGTTTGGCTTTGGGCCTAGAGGTTGGGTTTCTGAGTCAGATAGTGAAAGGATAGCTCAGCAGCCAGAAGCTAACAAGTGAGGGCTTAGACTGGCAGTGGTTCTCAGCCTTCCTAATGCCACGATCCTTTAACACAGCTCCTCATGTTGTGGTGGCCCCCAGCCATAAAATTATTTTCGTTGCTACTTCATAACTGTAATTTTGCTACTGTTATGTCTTAGGCGACCCCTGTGAAAGGGTCGTTCGACCCCCAAAGGGGTTGCAACCCACAGGTTGTGAACCGCTGGCTTAGAGAGATCTCTGTACACACAGAGACCCATATAAATGCACAGTATGGTGTTAGGTTGAGAGAATGGCCATTAAACACCAGGAACTCTCCTCAAGCAGGAAATGCATGCCTGGATAAAGGTCACCCGTCTTAGCCTTCATCTTTTATGATTTCTTTTCCTTATCAGTGAAATCATGTCCTCCTTCCTCCAGCAAACTAGCAGAAGTGGGAGGCAGCTGTGGCCCTCTCCAGCTTCTGGGGGAGACCCTGAAGTTTGGGCTCTGGGTCACCCTAATTTAGGACATTCAATGGAACACTGAGAGGCCTCCAATCCACTTTTACAGGCAGAAACTAAAACCTTCAGGTGCTGAGAGTAAAGATGAGATAAAAAGCAAGTACAGGTGTCACCTGTGGATATCAGATCACCAAGAATCCTGTCTATGTGTAGGTTGTGCTAATTCATTATTTGGAGGGACCAGTGAGTTGTTACATGTTCCCTGGGAAGACAGTACATTTCCTGACCCCTAATTTGTATTTGGAGCAGCTTCTCCTTTCCCTTTTGTTCGTTCCCTCTCCCTTTAGTGCTCAAATCATCAGAGAGAACTTCACAGGAGAGAGGAAAGCTAGGCCAGCCTAACAAGGAAGTTGTTAAAAAATAATTTTTAAAAAATGATGATGTAGTAGATGAGTGGATAAAAAAGCTGTGGTACATATACACAATGGAGTACTATGCAGCTGTAAGAAAGAAAGATCTCTTATCCTTTGAGACGACATGGAGGGACCTGGAAAGTATCATCCTAAGTGAAACAAGCCAAACAAAGACAAGTATCATATGATCTCACTTATTTGTGGAATATAATGAACATAACAGTCTGAGGAATGGGGTGGTCCCAGAGATGTGGAAGTGGGGTACAGACTGACAATCCCCAGAAGAGGGGGTGGTGGGGGACAGATAAACCACAGAGCTTATATGCATGTGTGCATGAATAATGGACATGGACAACAAAGCTGGGGACAGGCTGGGGAGGGAGGGGGAGGAACATCTGTAACAAATAAATAAATTTTTTAAAAAGAAAAAGAAAAAATTATGACGTTTGCATTCACTTTATAACCCTACTTACAAAGTTTAATTTCATTTTCTCCTGAGAAAGTTGTAACCCTAGAGTTAGTGGTGCTGACTTGTCTCTCATTTAGGTCAGAGCAGAGCCTGGAGATTGATGGGTTTTTTCTTTTTTTTTTTAATATGTTTTCTTTTTAAATCTTTTTTTTCTTTATTGATTTTAGAGAGAGAGAGAGAGAGAGAGAGAGAGAAACATTAATGAGAGAGAACATCAATTGGCTGCCTCCTGCATGCCCCCCACTGGGGATCCGGCCCACAACCTGGGTATGTGCCCTGACCAGGAATCAACTCAACAACCTCTTGGTACATGGGTTGATGCTGGGAAGATTCAGGGGGCACAGTTGTGAGGTTTTCCCTACAATTAATATTCTCAGTCCCCCTTATTAGGTATTTATCTAATACCCTAACCCAGTACCTATCCAGACTGAGCTTACACCAAGATTTCAATCCATGTTTGACTTTAAGAGTAACTCGTTAACAGATCCAAAAGATGCAGGGCAGGGCAGGGGAAGGACTGACCACAAATGAACTACTGCTTCTTAGGGGAGATAGAGGGATTTATCAGATACCCAGATTCCTTCAAGTGTCAAGGAAGCCCTGGAGAGCCTCTGAGCCTTTATTTTTAGAAACAGATACCTCTGGACATCCCTCCAAGCCCTGGTGATTGTTTTCTGGTTCTGTTAAACCTAAAACAGGAATAAGGGGCTTGTGGGTGCCCTCGCCCTCTCCATATTCCAATAAGAAATATATAGCAGGTATTTGCTCCCATTAGCAAAACATTGGGAAAAGTCTAAATGTCCTTTACATTGGAATTATTTTTTAAAAGTTTTTTTTCTTTATTGATGTTAGAGAGAAGGGAGAGGGAGAGGGAGATAGAAACGTCGATGACAGAGAACACTGATGACAGAGAACATCGACTGGCCGCCTCCTTCATGCTCCCCACTGGGGATCAGGCCCACAACCTGGGTATGTGCCCTTACCGGGAATCAAACCAGCAACCTCTTCATGTATGGGGTCGACCCTCAAACACTGAACCACTTACATTGGAATTATTTTAAATCATCGTGGTATTCTTTACATCCCTGAATATTATCAAGTAGATTTCTTTTTGCTGAGATAGAAAAAATGTTCACACTGTTTATATATATATATGTGTGTGTGTGTGTATATATATATATATTAAATTTTTTTTTATTTCTTTTTAATCTTTATTGTTGAATGTATTACAGATGTTCCTCATTTTCCTCCATTGATCCCCTCCTTCCCCCTCCCGCCCCCCTCCCTTCTTTTCCCACACTATTGTCTGTGTCCATTGGTTATGTATATAAGTTCTTCGGTTTACTTCTTCCCACACCCCAACTCCTTTCCCTTTGAGGTTTGTCAGTCTAGCAATGAATTTGTACTTCTTAATCCCTTCACCCTTTTCACCCATTCCCCCAAACCCCCTCCCATCTGGCAACCAACAAAATGTTCTCTGTATCTATGAGAATGTTTCTGTTCTGCATGTTCATTTTGTTTGTAGATTCCATTGTCGATAGATATGTATTCATTGCCATTTTGTTTGTTCATATATTTTATTTTTTTCTTCAAAAAGACCCTTCAACATTTCATATAATAACAGTTTGGTGGTGATGAACTCCTTTAACTTTTTCTTGTCTGGGAAACTCTTTATATGGCCATCGATTCTAAATGACAACTTTGCAGGATAGAGTAATCTTGGTTGTAGGTTCTTGGTTTTCATCACTCTGAATATTTCTTGCCACTCCCTTCTGGCCTGCAGTTTCTTTTGAGAAATCAGCTGACAGCCTTATGGGAACTCCCTTGTAGGTACCTAGCTGCCTTTCTCTTGCTGCTTTTAAGATTCTCTCTTTGTCTTGAACCTTTTGCATTTTGATGATGATGTGTCTTGGTGTGGGCTTCTTGGGGTTCATCTTGTTTGGGACTCTCTGTGCTTCCTGGACTTGTATGTCTGTTTCCTTCACCAAGTTAGGAAAGTTTTCTGCCATTATTGTTTCAAACAGGTTTTCAATTTCTTGTTCTCTCTCTTCTCCTTCCGGTACCCCCAAGATGCGAATGTTGGCACGCTTGAGGTTGTCCCAGAGGCTCCTTACACTATCCTCAATTTTTTGGATTCTTTTTTCTTTTTGCTGTTCTGATTGGGTGTTTTTTGCTTCCTTATATTCCAAATCAATGGTTTGCTTCTTGGATTTACATACTCTACTATTGAATCTGTGTAAATTATTCTTTATTTCAGCAAATGCCTCCTTCATTTCTGACTGTGCATCCATCATTTCTGACTGGTCCTTTTAGATGCTCTTGAGGCCCTCACTAAGTTCACTGAGGTTCTCACTAAGTTCATTGAGCATCCTTATAAGCAGTATTTTGAACTCAGCATCTGTTAGGTTGCTTATCTCCATTTCACTTAGTTCTTTTCCTGGGGTTTTGTTCTGTTCTCTCATTTGGGACCTGTTTCTTTGTCTCCTCATTTTGGCTGCCTCCCTGTGTTTGTTTCTGTGTATTACTTAACTAGCGGTATGGGGCTAGCTGAGACCAGATGCTGCTCGTTTGAAAGAATTT